AAAAAAAAAAAAAAAAAAAAAAAAAAAAAACCAATATTTTATTAAGCCCTTGGGGAAAAAAAAAAAAAAAAAAAAGTCTAAGACTCTATAGCTGATTCAAGCCTATTCCTGTAGGGCCAAAGGGAGTTTAGAAAAGAGAGACCAAGATTAGGAAGGCAAATTCATACAACTTCAAATGAACCTTTCCAAGGAGATCCTAATAATACTCTCAAACCAGCCCAGAGGATACTATACAAATTTAGCTGTTAATTTTAAAAGAAAAGTTTTAATTTTTTTTTGTTACTTATAAAAACTTTATGAAAATACATTCATACCAAGAAGATATAGTATTCATATTGCAACCATTTCTGTTAGTAATTATTTTAAGGGTCTACAAAAGCAATCTTATTCCCAAGGCACTATGAGTCAGCATAACAAAATAATACTACTTATTACTCTTGGAAAAAGTAAAATATTACTTGGGTGGATACTGATATTCTATGCAGTAAAGTTTCCTAAAATCAAGTATTAAAATATAATTATCCTAGATTCTTGGCATTATTTGCTTTTCAATATGCTAATTTGAAACCTATTATAATTTTAGCATTAACCTCTAAATATAATGGCATTTAAATTGTCCTAGGCTGTAGACACCTAAGAAAAATTTTCACTACCAAGCTCTAGAATAAAATTTAAAAGTCATCAAAGAACAACTAAAACAAATTATTCATAAGCTTGTGAAGTGTTTAGCAATTAATGAACCTACCAACACTTAGCTACCTACTATTATATTATCACCCTTTAAAAATATATCTAAATTCTCTTTTATTCCAATAATTCCCATATTACTGTATTAAAATATCAGTGCACTGAAAATCCAGAAATATTCCAGTTTTCCATGAAAATACAACACATATAAACTACACATATGTGGGCGCACACACACACACATATTAAGGGCTGCACATTTCTCTTAGGTAATCTAATTTCACTTGTGCAGCAGAATCCCCTCTCATCTGCCACTGCCTGGTTTCAGTTACGCCTGTGACCAGGGCTTATTTTCTTTGCTACTTGGTTTTAGCCAATAACATTTGATCTTTGTAATGAATGGAAGAAAGTATACTCATGTTTACCTAATATTTTTAAATGTGTAATTTTCTAAAAAGATTCTGCTTTCCATTGCAAGTGTTATTTACCTGTCTGAACATCAATAACCATCTGATGGCCCCCTCTCATTCCTGGTCGGTTATCTTCTCCATCACCTGAAGTAGAAACAATATTTTCTTTTAAAGGAATAACAAAGAACAACTGCAAATCCAGAGTAACTTCATTCCTAAGTCCATAAGAAGTAGTAAAAATAACCTACACTTATTCTTACAAAATATTAAGAATAAGTAAAGGATTCATTGAACAGTATGATTTAAATCTATACTTATAATAATCTTGCTCTTTCCTCCAATTGCTTTCATGCTTTTAATACAATTGGAAGCTATTTTCAACCTATTTATGACCAATGACGTCAATCAGCAAAGAAAAAGAATATTCCACAAAAATATAGGACAAAATTTTCTAAACTGTTAGAGTGCCAATGTGAAGGTAGAAAACAATTACTAATTAGATCTCATGTTTATATTCCAGGCATAGTTTATCAATATAAAAAGCAGTTTTAAAATTCATAAAACTGCTAAAAAACTAAGATATTACAAAGTTTTAAATATTATTAATTTCCTTACTGTATTAATTTTGTGCCAATATTTCAGAAAGCAGTTCCCACATAATTTACCAACTATTTTGAGAACTGACTGAAAAAATGTAAGATATAATTCACTTTAATTCTTATTTCAATCACAGAGCTTAATAGGCAGGTTTAAATATAATCAAACTTTAAATTTCTGAAGTAGAAAACTATTATTCAACTTATTTTGCACCAAATCGTATACAAATAAAGATATAATTTCATTCCAATCGTTCAAAAGGTTACAGGATTCTAACGTTTTCTTCAATATAAATCAGTCTAAGGATTTCTTCATAACTATCCCATTAACTGAAATGTATTACTTTGGCTAATAAGTTTCCTTATATTGGCTTTATCCTGTGTAAAATTGAGAACACCCAACTTTTTACTAATTTCACAGGAGTAATGAAATATCATTTCTTATATACAGAAAATAAGATGCGAAATTGGGGCTGGCCAGTTAGCTCAGTTGGTTACAGTGCAGCCTTGTAACACCAAGGTCATGGGTTCAGATCCCTGTGCTGGCCAGCAGCAAGGGGAAAAAAAAAAGTAAGTAATATGCAAAACTGAAGCTTTTTATTATTGCTGTATTCAATGGCTAATTCAGAAGTTCCCTGAAAATTCTTTCTCCTTTCTGATAGTTGGGTAGCCGTTTAGACTCTGCAGCTTACTATCATTGAAGGTTTGCCCTTTGTAGTGGATTGAATAATGTCCCCCCAAAACTCCCTGAAGCTTGAATTGTGTCCCCAAGTTTTAAACTTAGCCCCCACTGTGACTGTTGAGAGGTTGGGAAATCCTATTATGGTAATTGACACGTAGGGCCTTGAAGAGGTGATTGGATCGTAGGACCATGCTGTAGTAAACAGATTAAAAACGGTGGTCAGGGGCGTGGTTCCAAGGGCTTTAAGAGAAGAGAGAAGAAAATGTCTCTCTCTCTGCTTTCTCTGCTTCCACCTCTTTGCAATGTGAGACTACTGGGTCACTGTCGCCACCACCGGATGGACTTTGGACTTCCCACCCCCAGAAACTGTAAGCAATAAATTTCGTTTTCTTTATAAATCACCCAGTTCCATGTATTCTGTTATAAGCAACCCAAACCAACTAATACACCCTTCCTTCTTTCCTCCCCCATCAGTCAGTATTGCCACTTTCAAGAACATGTTAAGAAAATACTAAAATAAATTCATTTTCAGTATGTTTATATTTTCTATTCTTAATCCATTAGTTTGTAAACATACAATTACAGTCTGTTTGCTACACTATGTGTGTCTTTGAAGAAAATTACCTCATATCTGACTGATAAAATAGGAGAATGACGTCTGTATAATGCAGAAATAATGGAGGCTCAGAAGCAATTTCCCCCTGCATATTAATGTTTAACATTATCAGGAGAAAGATTTTTTACAATTAAAGAGAAGGCCTTGGCAATATACACAGTCCATAAGGGAAAAAGCTGAACATCCACAGAACTGCCTTCCTTTAATTTAAATAGTTGCATTAAAGAATTGCTATATTTTCTACTATGTCAACTATTTGGCAAAGCAATGAGCACAAATGAAGAAGTGACAGAAACTTCCCCCTATATGAAAATAAAGGATTAATAAGGAAGACTACACTCTGGATTGGATTTTAAGTTTTGATGAAAACAGTCTTTAATAGAAGCAAATGCCCTCTATAAATAGTTGCATTAAAGAATTGCTATATTTTCTACTATTTGGCAAAGCAATGAGCACAAATGAAGAAGTGACAGAAACTTCCCCCTATATGAAAATAAAGGATTAATAAGGAAGACTGCACTCTGGATTGGATTTTAAGTTTTGATGAAAACAGTCTTTAATAGAAGCAAATGCCCTCTAGGATCTACATCTCAAAGAGGAAGCATGAACTCCAGGGTTTAAGGCTCTAAACTCACTATAACATTCAGTATACATGTGTTTAAAGATTTAACTGTACTAGTATTTATTTTTATTAGAATTATTTTAGTAGTTTTTATTAATACCTGATCATAAAATTCCATAGATTTAGAATGGCCTCCCTGCTTTCTATTTTTCTCATAAGCCCTGTTAGGTTTAGCGAGCAATTTTGTAGAACTTAAGGTTTTTCAGGAACATGTGTATGGCATTACAACACAGACTATAATTTGATAGTGTCTCTGTGAAAGTAATTTATGATGATACTTTGTAAAAACTGCCCAACCTTCTATTAAGGCAGTAAAACAAAAAAGTTTAAAAGAAAATTATAATATAATAAACTAATTCTACCACTTAGTTAAGGAACCTATGTCTTTGTTTTAAACACCTGCTTTTTATTAACAGAGTCCTGTGACACTTGAGCTATCTTGGGAAAACTAAAGACTAAGATGTTAAAGAAAAAGCACCACAACCCAAAGGTATGACTTACCTTTGGTGCTTTTGGGAATAATTTGACTCCATCGTGGCTTATACTCTTGTTGACTGATATACTGATTGAACAAGCCATCTGCAAATATCAAAGAATGAAAAAGAATGACACCTTAAACAGTTTACACTTTTTATTATAGCAAAAAAGAAAAAAAATTAAAATTAAAATATACAAGCCTACATTAAGAGAAATTACTAGTATGTCACTAATACAAGTCATTTTCATATCTTTTATTACCTCCGAAACGTCTCTTCTTCACAGCTCACTAGACATCCACATTTCTACAAGTAGTGCTTTGTACACTGACACTGACTTGTTTTAACAAGTATAATGGAAGAGAGCCAAATACGAATGTCCAGAGGCATTTACAATCAGGCTTGCCTAGGAGATTACTTCCAAAATTCAAAATATTAAGTACTTCAAACTTAAAATATTAGAAATTATCATGATCTTACTTTAGGTAAGACAAAACTGTCTCCTGAATAGTTAATAGCATAGCATTAGATATGCTCAGTATATAATAAATAGTTAGAATTTTTTAAAAAGGCTTTCTTAGCCACATGGTTGATACTTCCTTTGAGTCATCTTGATATTACTAAGTCCCTCACATTAAAATTAACTGCTCACACTTTCAAAAAAGCATATTCCTAATACATAATGACACCCTGACAAGTCACATCATTTTGCACAGTAGTCAGTTAAACATTTAAAAAATTATTTTGGGAACTTTTTATTTGCTCCTGTCTCTTTCTAATAAATTCCTTTTGTCTCCAGTATAACTGTTATACAATTTTCTTTGATATCTCTTACTCTTTATTTTTCTGTAGAAAACATTAGAAAACCTCAAAAAAATTATTTCGATATATCATAATCAAATCTGGAAGTAACTTTCAAGAAAGACCTTATCAAAGAAAAAAAGAATTGATATATCATAATCAAATCTGGAAGTAACTTTCAAGAAAGACCTTATCAAAGAAAAAAAGAATTAACTTTTGTTGAGCACCTATAGAATGCAAGACACCACATAGGTTAACTCATTTACTCTTTGAAATAAACCTATGATAGTCATTATAAATAACGGCAATGATTAGAAAATCAAGGTTAACAGAAGTTAAGTAACATACCCAAGGACTCTAAACAAAAAAGTATAAAGCCCAGTTCCAAAGTCCATATAGTTTTTATCTCTTCATAGACTGCAAATACAGACTGGAAAGTACAGATACACACATATCACAAAGTAGTTTCTTAAATTACAATCTAAGATAAAACACTGTAATAACAAGGCAAATTTTACCTATTCAAAACACATGAAAAAGAGCAAGACTTTGAGAAACAAAACTCACCATACCAGATGATTCTACTTCAATGTTAAACAAATCTTATATTGTACAATAGAAGAAAACTCAAAAGTTAAAATATATTACTTATGATTTAAAGGAAAAAATGTAATCCCTCTCTTAAATGAAGACCTATTGGCTACTGTGGCTGAAGGTTACTTTTTATGTTTCATTTTTCCTCTGGAACACTGCTTTGCCACTACTCCAGATTGCTTACCAGAAGCATTCCTGTCAGTGGGAAGTTGTTCCATATAAGCAATGGCTAGTTTGAAAAGTTGGCTGTTCTACCAAAACAAAATGAAACAAAACAAAAACAAACAAAATCCAATCCAAACCAAACCACCTCTTCTTTTGGAGAAACCATGACTTAAAATAAGACATAAGAGCTAGAAATTCACAAATTCCAGTCCTCTCACACCCCTCTCCATACACACAATCCCCAACTGTCCAACTCTCTTATTAACCTCTTGACACTCTTTCATTTTATACTATTAAATTTCACCTCTCCAAATGAAAAATATTGTTTAAGGACTTATAAGAAATTATGTTTCATTTTGCAGAGAAAGATGATAAATTAAAGATTATTCTCATTTAATCTCTGTTACTGCCTCTTGCCAGGGAAACTGGGTTGTCAATAAATGGTCCAAATCAGATCTGGAGAAGGCTATAAGTAATAGCTATTCTCAATGAAATAACATGTTTAAGAATCTTCTTTTATAACTTAAAAAAAAAATAGTAACACAAATGTTTATTAAAGGTTTGGTAAATAGTAACTTCTGTTTCAAACCGTTGAGACATGCTAAAGAAGCTTTATTTTTTAATAGAACAAGTTTAATTTTTAGAAATCAGACAGCCATTTTCGGTGATGGGACATTACAATCAACTACATTGTATATTGACAAAATAAAAATAATAAAAAAAAATAATAAAATAAAATCCAGACAGCCATTTTCGGTGATGGGACATAACAATCAACTACATTGTATATTGACAAAATAAAAATAATAAAAAAAAATAATAAAATAAAAATAAAAAGAAATCAGACAGCCATAAACTAGAAATCCCTTGAGGAAATCAATAAAAACACTAAAAACATAAAAGCTGGGTAAAGATTTAAAAAAAAAAAAAATACGTTACTTTCAGTACCTTTGTTTTGATGCTTAAAAAACTTTCAAAATCTAAAAACAAATGAAAAGTTGACACCTCTGCACTCCAATGAATCTCACCATGTTCCCTATATTTCTAATTATTGAAAAGTGTTGCTAAAGCTTTTTGTTACTTCTTACCTGTAGATATTTTACATGACTTGGCAAAAAAAAAAAAAAAAAAAAACTTGCGCTCAATTGAAACAATAATGACATTCTCATCTACAAAAATATGACAATTCCCATTACATTGTTTTGAAAGTCACAGAAGCAAATTTAAAAATGAGAAATTTAAGGATGCCTATGAACCTTCTGAGTTCAAAAAAATCACTTCTGTATTTTAAGAGGAAGTCAGGCAGTTGCTAATATTTCTGTTAAGTCTATTTTTGACAAAAATCTAAAGCAGGATATCAGAAGAGTTTGATGAAAGTAAACGATCCAAAAAAATTTAAAATATCAGTCAGAAGAAAACACACTAAGAACTAGTTGCTAACAATTTTAAAACTATTTAACTGAAGTCTTCAGGTCCAATTATCACTTCGTTTTTTTTCTGTGATTATGACTATTCTAAATAAACACATTTTATACAATCCTCACTAGGCACAAGATGTTTTTTTCTACAATAATGGAGACTCTCTTAAAAAGTACATAATTTAAGGCTGGCTGGTCTGTCAGTTAGTTAGAGCGCAACCTTGTAACACCAAGGTCAAGGGTTTGGGTCCCCATACTGGACAGCCACAAAAAACCCCACAACAATAAAAAAAAAAATCCCAACAATAACATCAGAAAGCATAATTTAAAAATGATACTCAAGAAGTTTTTAGCAAAAGGAAAAAAAAAACATCAAACCTCATCCAGGATCAAAAAAATCCAAACCAAAATAACAAAGATTACAGTAATACTGCCTACACCCACACTTCTATCAAATCTGATTTATCACCAAAACACATTACATTCAAAGAAAATAATTTAAAATGAACTTATAGGTAAATAACTTGTAGAGCACAAAATCCTTTTGGAACATTCAGGAATAATAATGTTTGGATCGAAATCAATTTTTAAAAAATTATCCATCAGTTTGTTCAAATTCTGAAAAGAGAAATATGTGAATCATACCAGTTTATAATAAATAATCAATACTGAAAAACTTAACTAGAAATATTTACTAAGTTGGTAAAGAACAGTGGTAAAGAGTATGGATTTTGGTGCCAGACTATCTGAGTTCAAATCTTAGCTCTATCATTTACCAGTTATGCTGTCTTAGACAAATTACTTAATCACACTTATTTAGTAAAAAAGAGATAAAACACTTACCCTAGAAGGTAGGTATGAGAATTAAACAAATTCATAAAAAAGGCTTAGGAGAATAGATGGCACACTGTGAAAGCCACAAATATATGTTAGCTGTGATGATGATAATGCTGCAGTGTTTGGAACTGGACTTGGAAGAAAACTAAGAATTTTTTAATGTACAAAATGAGAAATGTGGCACTACGGCAAACAGGAGTTAGGAGAAAGAGGGACAAAAATGTGTGAGGGAATAATAAAAGACGCTAACTTAAAAGAGCTGGTATTAAAGAATGAATTGGAAGTGAATAATAATGAAAAGGGAAATATTCAGGGAAAGAAATATGGGATAATAAAAGCACAAAGGCATGAATGAGCAGGAATTATAGCAAAAAGCTATGTTTCAGGAAGCAGTCTGGCAATCAGGTAGGAAAAAAAAAAGAGAGATTTTGTATTCTGAGCATTTCTAAGAAGAAACACAATCCTAAGGGAAAAGAAATATCATAAGGAAAGATCTTGCTATTCTGGAACACAGCCCTTGCTCCTGACTCACAAGAAGGTCCTTAAAATAGTTAGGAAAAACCTACCTCATTCAAAGATTAATAATAATCAAAAAGAACAAACTCAGGATTTACACTACGATATAAAAAGGAAAAGGAAGAAATGAATTTTTAGAAAGTGGCAAATGAATCTGTTTCAACAACAACAAAAAATACATGAAAATGGCCAAATACGTTTCCATGAATACAAAAAAATTAAGGAAGTAACACTCTCTATAAAACACAAGCACAGATTAGTGACACAAATAGTTGGTAAGTAAAGAAAATAAAGAAAATAATTGCTAACCTATAATTCTATATCTGGTAAAAATACCCTTCTAGAAAAGAGACAAAATTTTCAGGCAAGCAAAAACTGAGTAGACCTGCATTAAAAGAAATTTTAAATGATGAGCTTAAGGCAGAGGAAATGCAATCCTAGCCATAAGATCAAAGATGTAAACAGTGATGAAAAGCAAAAATATCAGTATTCAAATAAAAGTAATAAGCATTGACTTCATAAAATAAGAATATTAATATTTTACAGGGTCTTCGAGTCCACTAAGTCCTTGCATGGGAGGAGAGAAAAGGCACTGATTAATTTTGTTAAGTTAACCAAATATCTTGCTGTAGTTTCTAGACTACTCATAAATAAAATATAAACAGTATGATACTGCCAACAAACAGAAAGAAACAAATGAAAAGATTAAAAAGTTCTTTTTAGGGCCGGCCCGGTGGCGCACTGGAGAGTGCGCCGCTTGGGAGCGTGGCGG